GTCACTGGGATTTGAACTCTAGACCTGCCACTTGGGGGTTGACAACCTATCCACTTCACTAGGTCGCCACACCCCTAATAATGTAATTGTTTAAAAGTTAATTAAAAATATGTTAATAAAAAGTGAAATTCAAAACAAAACAATTTCAAGGATATTTAACTGATTACAGACTTTAAAATATTAAACCATGTTGCAAGGAAATAAAAAAAGCTTTTATTATAGATATAGATAGTAATTTTTCTTTTCTTTTCTGTATAACTTTCAATCAACTTTTATTTAAATTTATTGCAAATCGCAAAACTGTGCAATGAAGAAAAGTAATAATTATGCAAGATGATTATGACCTAATTATTCAAATTTTAAAGAACCCTAAAGATTTATCTATTGGAACTGTGAAAGATTGCTTTTGGGTGAAAAATAATTTTTATTTATGTGATCTTGGAACATTACAAAACCCAATTCTTCAGATTGTAGAAAGAAATAAATCAAATGAATCAGATCATGTAATCTGCCCATTTTAAAATCTTTATCATGTTATTGGAAAAATTCATGGCAGTAAGCATTAGCATTTTGGTTCAAAAAAACATATGATGCTATAAGTAATCAATACACCTATGTTCCTAGATCATTTGTTGAACTGTATATTTCTTGATATACACAATGTTATACATGAAGGTAAATTATTAAGTTAATCACTTTTAAAGGTGTAAATATTGTAAATATAAAATGTTGTAAATATAAAATTATTACTTATTATTAAAATTTAATTTATTGCCTTATTTTTTTGTTTAAGTCATTTTACTTTATTTAACTATTCTATATTGTTTCTCATTATAATAATTTAAGAAATTTTCTTATGCCTGTTATTAGAAAAACTATTGTTTCAAAGAACTTCTTATATTATATACAAGTTGATCTTGTTTCTTTTGAAAAATACTCAGATAAGGAATATTAGTACATTGTACATTTTCATACTCATTTCATAAGGTTTTTCTGAATCTGCCTATTACATACTAAAGAGGTATCAGAAGTTGCTGCATTTTTATTTTCAATTTTTACTGTCTTTGTGCCTTCTTATATTTTGCAAAGTGACAATGGTAGAGAGTTTACAGCAAAAGTAATTTTTGAACTTCATAGCTTATAGAAGGAGATCTATATAATTAACAGGCACCCCCATCATTCATAGTTACAAAAGTCAGTGGAAAATTCTAATAAGACTCTAAAAAATGTACTTTTAACATGAATGGAAGATAATAAACAAAAAGACTGAAGCATTGGTCTTTTTATAGTTACATATGCTATGAATATTCATCATTTTAGGCCTACTAGTCATACACTATATGAACTAGTTTTTGGACAACATCCATTGCATCAGTTTAATATAATTGAAGAATTAAAACAATATAATATTAATATAGAAGAGGACTTGCTCCAAAATATGGTTAGAAGTGAAGAAGATTTGGAGAATATGGATAATAATAATGGCTTGCATTATAATAACAGCTTGTATAATAATAATAGTGATTTCAATAATATGGATAATGATGAACAGAGGTTGATTTTTAACAGCTCTGTATATTTAGAAAGAAATAATTCATATATGGAAGAATTGGATTAGTTTTAATTTTTTATTTGTTTTAGTCATTTACTTATTTATAAATTTAGCTCAATTAAATGTACTTTTTTATTTAAGAAAATGAATTTTCTGGTTTTAAAATTGAAGAACAGAATCTTCATGAAAGTGTTAATGATTATATAATTTTAATGCAACAACCTATCTATAATAAAAATGCTGATGATTATATAATTTTAATACAACAAACTATTCGTAATGATCAATAAATGCAGCAACATACTTAAGATAACAATATTATTTTAAATATAATTATGATTCTAATTAGTGATGGGACTGCTCTTTTGATTTAATTGAATCAATGATCTATTTAATTTTTTAAGTTCTATGAGTCTGCGAATAGAACATGGATCATTATTTTATGTTTGTTGTATCTTATAGAGCTCATTTATTGATAAAAAGAAAAATAAATAAATTTATTAAATGAGTCATACAAAAATAACAAGGTTGAAATAATTACTATATTGTAATTACAGAACTCAAAAATATTATATAGATTATCATTCAACTAAATCAAAAAGAATGATAACTTAAATAATATACAGCATAGTATCTTTCTCTATTTTATTAATATTTAAGAAAATTTAGAATTATTAAGTAATGATCGAATTATCTAACTAATTACAGTAATTATTTTATTATTATTATTAACAAAAGCTCGAAAGTTCTATCACTATTCTACTGTATTTAATTATTTTAAAGTTCATTAACTATAGCTTAATGATCTTATATACATATAATTAGAAAAATCAAGAAACAACTAATTCAGATTTTGTTTCTTACAAAAAACATCAGTTTTCTGCTTTTTAAGAAGCATCTAATAGTCCAACTCATCATGATATTTACTGTCAACTTGCAAACAAGAATCTTGAAGATTATTGTTCCAAGATAGAATGCCAAATGTATACAAAGTATAATATTCAAGAACATAATTATCAAGTTGGTGATTTGGTAAAAATACAAATTGCAAAGATTGACTGTGAACCTGGGAATTATTGTGCACTTTCTTGTAAAGTGTTTTTAGTACTATCCAATAATATGTATCATCTTGTATACCGATTTGGTGTTTTTGAAAGAGCATTTTTAGCTGATAAAGTCTTGCCACTTGGGCCAAAAGAATTTTCTAAACTGAACAATCTCTTAATCTATAAAAATGGCAGTATTGTTGAGGCAGCAAGATTGCAATCTAATGCCTTTGCTAGTAATAAAGGTTGCAATTACAGAGGTGATTGCCTTATGGCAAAATGTTTTTTGTAAAAAAGCAAACATTTTATGTAGAAGTAGATGTCATTTAAAGAATTCCAAATATAAAAATAGAGCTTGAAAACTGAGTAGATTGTATTTAGAAAATGCTTTAGCATTACATGTTTTTTAGCATATTTTGCATTTATGTTATGAAGAAAATATAAAAAAAAATTAAATAAGGCTGCTGGCTTTCTGTGATGCTTAAAAATAAATCTTGTGATATATGAAATTAGTTTTTTTAGGATTCTGCATAATTAAAATTCAGGTTTTTATAAATTCATATCTTATATTTAATTAAGTGATTTATTATTATTATTTTATCAATTTATTAGGTTAAAAGTAGTGAAATTTTAGGTTCACAAAAATATTGTTGCTGACTCACTCACTCTGAATAAAAAATACTAATATTGTTTTGACCCATGTATTAATAAGATATTAAGTAATCATTAATTAAAGACTAGTAATTCTTGTTAATGGCACATTAACTAGCTACAATGATCTCTTCTATTTCTAAAATTTCTTTTTCTATAAAATGTTTTTCATAAACTATTCTGTATTTTGAATGTTTTTTATTTTTCATTTGTGAATTGAAGACATAACAGAAATAAAATTTTTAAAATTTTTAGATTATTCATTATGAAAAAGTACTATTATAAAGAGAGTTGACCATATTTAATATATAGTAGAGTAGATTACAGTAATTTCAGAAGTATGTAAGAATAACAAAGCTATAAAATTTAATTATAAAAGTAAACATTCTTAACTTAAGGAACAATTTTTTTTTTCCTTAGACAGTCACACTAGTACTTTATTAATATTTTAGTAATTACTACAATTACATTGATGTTTAACAACTAAGTCTAACATCATTCAGCCACCCTAATGGCACCTAAGTGCAGACTTGTCACATTACTTCAAGCAGAAGTAAACTGCTCATCAGACTACTTAAAGTTCATAATAAAAGGGTCTTCTCCCTTTCATGACAAGCTCTAATATTTTCTTCCTAGCTTCATCTTCGATTCGTTTTTTCCTCTCTTTTAATTATTAAGCAAAAAGATTCTATAATCCTTGCCTAAAGAACAACAGGATATATGAAAAAAAAATTAAAAGGGAGTAAAAAAAAAAGGGACTAATTACAAAACCTAAATGTAAACCAAAAGAAAAAAAAAAAAAAGATAACAAAAAGAAGAACAAAGAAAAAACAAAAAAAAACATGAAGCCACTGTTTTTGCCTGTGCTTGGCTTTAAAAATTCTATATAATACTAAATAAAGAATACTCCACATTTACTTTATCTTCATATTATAATATATTCTATTTGTTATATGGGAAGAATGGTTGAAGTTTTTATTTTCCTCTTAAGTTTGACATATGTTTTTCATCGTAGGTTCAATACTCGTATCATAATTTTCTCATGACTAACGTTACTAATTTGAAAAGCTAAACAGTGTTGATCCTTTGGAGAGGGTATGCCAAATTTCCCACTTTTTGATAAAAATTTCAAGAGAAAAATCTAGTAGTAAGAGCGGAAGGAAAACCCAACTTAAGAAAGAGTTGTAAGAGTTATACTATATAGAATATTATATTAAACCAAGTAACTATTTAGGCCTAAGCTCTCATAGCACTTGCCAAAGCTTCAGAGCTTATCTACTACTTTTTTGCTTGATAGTACTTGTGTTTTACCAAGGGACTTCACTTACAAGGATTCAAATCTTTTTTAGCTCTTTTCAGTTACAACCAAGCATGCAATGAATAGCCTTCCTAGTTAATCTAAAATAGAGTTTTGTTATATTTAAATATAATAACTATATAGTTTTCATAGGTCAGACTTTTGGAAAAAGTTGGTGTGAGGTATCATTAGAAAGAGTTGACAATTGGATGTTTTTTTTTGTTTTTATATTTTTTAATTTCTTGAATATTTGTATTGTTATATCTTTTCAAGTTTGTATTTTAACTAAATCTATTTATACTTTTATTTTTTTGTTTTTCAAGCTTTCTTTTTTTCTTGTTTTTTTCTTTCATTATTTAAAAAACTTAAAAATTGTTATATCTAATTGGTCTAGTTCATTTACTTTTTAGTTGTAAAGATAATTGTTACTGTTATTCTTTAATTACTATTTCTGTTTAATAAGATATAAACTAACTTTGTTTACTTATTTTTTAAACATTATAGCAATAATACTTCTAATAAATTTTCAGAAAATTTTGTTAGCTTTGTTGTATATTGATCCTAGTAATTTTTTTCTTTATAATCTTTATTAACTTTTGTTAGTCTTACTAGTTTATTATTATCTATTGATATTGACCAAAATATGTCTTCATCTTTATATCAATCTGTTTTGATTACTGTCAATGCTTTATATTTTAATCTTTTGATTCTAACTATATGGGCCTTCTTAATTCTTCTACAAATATAGTTTAAGTCTGTTCTATTTATATTCACTGATAGGTCTTAGATTATTAAATAATTAGTATAAGTATTTTTTTATAAAAGAATTTTTTTTTTTTTTTTATTAACTTCATATTTAAATTTTTTTTTTAGTATTCAATTGCTTGATCTGATTTTTTTCTATATTTTTATTTTTTATTTCTTCTAAGATAAGCTTGAGCTATTCTTTTTCTTTTTTATTAATTCTTTTAATTACTTTATTTTTACTGTATTCACAATCAAAATCAATTTCAACCTAATTATTTTCTTTTTTAAAAGCTTTTTTGATTGTTTTTATATATTTATTTCTTTTAGAATTTATCTTATATTTGAATTTTTTTTATATCTTTTTTAATAGTATATAGATAGAAAAATTGTCTTTAAAAAACTTATTTATTATATATGTTTTGTATCTAAAAGATCAATCATTATACTCTATTAAGGTTAAAGAAGAGAAAAGAAATATTAATAATAGATCTTTTGACTTTATTTGTTTAGTTTTGGTTAATTCTACTAGTATATTTTCTTTGACATTTCTTTTTTTTTTTTTTTTTATATTAGTAAAAAGATCTATTTTTGTTTTTTGTTATTATTGTTCTATATTAAGTTTTTTAATTTATTCTATTATTTTAATTTTTATGTTTAGTATAGTTTTATTATTAATTGTTTATTATCTTTTCTTTATAAATATATTATTGTTAAGATTTTTTTTTATTATAGTTTCTTTTCATTCCTTTTATCTTTTCTTCTTTTTTTTTGTATTTCTTCTTTACTTATACCTATTGTATATTCAACTGAAACTGGATTAAGATTTGTTATTTTTATTTTATTAGTTCATTTTTTGATAAACTTCTTTAATAGAATTATTATTATTCTTATTTCAAAATTTAAAATTTCAAGTATTTGACTATATAATATTATATCTTTTGTTGTAATATTTTGAGTTATATATTTGTTTTTAGACTATTTTATTGATATTTACTAATTATAGAATCTCTTACAATTTGTTTATTTATTAATTTTGCTAGTATATTTATATTTTTTAAATAAGACACATTTGTTTTATGTATTTTGTTTACTAATAATTGTTGTTATATTTAATATGTTTATTTATTATTATTTAGGATCTCAAATTTTCTAAAAATTTTATCTTATTTTTTATTAATATAAAGAAAAATCTATTTTGTGTCTGTTTTTTTTAACTTGTTATTCTAACTAAATTTATTTTTTTTTCTTTTTTGAAATTATTACTTAGTTATTTAAATAATTATTTTTATTCTAATTTTTTTATTTTCTTTATATTCTTTGTTTTGCTTTTTTTTGAAAATATAAATTAGTAAAAAGTGTTTTTGACCAAAAATAATTTAAATTAATAAAAACATGTTTGTCTATTTATAATATATATATATTTTTTAAATATTAAGTTAAATACTTGTGATCTAGGATTTTATTAATAGTATATTTAACTAATAGTTATATTATAACTATAGAAGACAATTATAAAAAAAATATACAACTAGCTATTCATACAACTTTAGTTATTATCTAATTTAAATAATTTACTCAAAGGTTCTACACCAGCTATTATATCTGAAACCTGCTTATAAGTTCTCTATTTAACTACTCTAGTTTTTATATCTACTTATCTACTTCTGTTTACTAATAATCTTAGCTGATATTAGTGAAAATATACTATGCTTACTAAGTCTTTAAAACAATTTTTTAAAACCTTTGATCTTATACTAAATCTTTTAAAATCTTCTGTATTCCATTCTTATAACTAACCCAGTATTACTATGACTGGGATCAATACTAGTAGTCAGAATATACTATTAAACTGCTATGCTTTTATAGAGTTCACTCTAACCCTAATACTGACTTCACAACATATTCTTATTATTTTGGTATTCAATTTAAGTTCCACCAAGCTGCCATTCCAGATAACTTAGAAAGGTAGGTTGAAACTATATAATTTTGGTTTATATATTTACCAACATGTATTTTTTTTCTTTAAAATTTAGAAATTCTAATGACTTGGTTGGTTCACCAGATCTCTCCTCAAAGACCAGCATATTTGTTCAGTTTTATAAGTTTTAGTTCTATTTCATAAGTTTAGTTTTTATAATAATACTGTCAAAAATTCAGGTTATCTCTTTACTCAGATCTTCCAAGTAAGCTTTTGTCTTTCTACCTGATTCTTATAATTTATATAACCTAAGAACTTATCTTGGGTTTACACTACCCAGTACTGGTTTGTGTTCCTTTATATAACATTGTACAAGTGCTTAGACCTTTCAGTTATACTAGTATAACACAAGTTACAGGTATCTTATTTCAACCAATTACAGAAGACAGTTAACTATAACACAGAAAGAATTGCAAATTTTCACCATTACTGAGATTTGAACTTTAGACCTGCCACTTAGGGGTTAACAACCTATTCATTCCACTAAATCACCACACTCCTTATTTGTAATATATTTAACAATATACAACTAAATTTTTAAATATAAAATTTTGATTAAATTCCTTGAACTTTATTTTGATTTTTGTTTAAAATTTTTTTTAAATTAATTATTTTGATTGGTAATATAGTTAATTATTCAATATTTGTGTAACTATTTTTTATATTTGAAATGTTTTTATTTTTGAAAAGTATAGTAATTTACCTTGTAAGTTACTAAATTATTTTTGATTTTACATCTTTGGTAATCCATTGTTAACTCTTTAGTTATTGCGAAACTAATCACTTCATTACTTGATTAATAATTCTAAAAGTTTTTATTGCAAAATTTGCATAAATTGAATTGTAAAGTAGGAAAATTTAGCAAAAAATGATTCCGAATGTTAGTAATATGATAACTCATTATTTGATAAAGTTAGTAATATGATAACTCATTATTTGATAAAGATTGAAATCATTATTTGCTTACCATTTTTTATATAAATTTTATATAATTAATTGTTTAATAATCATTTAATGCCTCTAATAAAGATTATTAATCAGATTTTATTCACAGAACAAATGTGTATCACTAGTATAAGTTTTATTTAAAAAGACAACACAAGCCTATATAATCTTGATAATTTTATCATTTTATATAACTCAAATTTTATTAGTAATAAGTCATTTTAAAGTACTATGTAATTAATGAATACGTATGTATCACTTTACAGAAAATTATTTCATAGACATCTTTATTACATAGACAATCAAGTTTATTTTAAAGACAATTAATTCGAACAGATCAATTAATAGACAGCTCATTTTGCAGATAGTTCATTTTGAAGGCGACAAATTAATGTTATAGCTGTTTTCATAAATTCTGGCAATAAGTTTTGATTCGTGATCATTGCCGAAATCAACAAATTATCGAATCGGGTCGGTCAATTTTTTGTCAGATGTCCTAGAATTTATGAAAACAGCTGTAAATCCAAAAGAAACAAAAAACATGCCCGCGGGTGACCGGTCCATAATTTTGATAAATCAAGTGTCATCATTAATCTGTTACTGAATTCGGACACTTAGCATGAACACATTGACTACTACGTTACTTATGAGCAGAAAACCTAAGAACCAAATGAATAATACTTTTAATATGCAACTCGGATATAAGCAAATGATTTATATTTTAATTTCAACAATTTCAACACGTCTATAGTTCCAATACTGTTACTCTAAGGACCAGGCTTGGACTCGCTCACTTAACATTCCTAATTAAAGTTTGGATCCGTTATTTGTTTTCATATTAAATTTAACGGATATCTGACGGTTTTACTATTTAAAATTCGGATTTCTTGCAGTATATGTGACCCCTTTAATAAAATATCATTATTGATCAATTGATTACAAGGTACTGCAAGAGATCCTTAATTCCAAACTATTATGCATGCATCAAATGAGTTCCGCAAAGGGAAAACCTGGAATTGTTAGTTTTCTGAAGTGAAATCATATCAGCGGAAAATTTTAATTTTTTGACAAAGAATAACTTTTGACCCACTTGTCTGTTTTAGGTGATTTACCATAATGACTATTTTAGTGAGACGGGTAACAATAGGATGGGTTTAACCTATCCTATTTTACCCGATATAAGCAAAATGTTGATTATCTCGGGATTAAGTGATTGGACTTTGATAATTTTAGTCTCTTTAGGATCGTCTCACTGAGACGGTCATTTATAATGGTAAAATCGTCAAAGCTATTCTTTGTCAAAAATATTATATAATAATTACGAGTTTTCCCTTTGTGGCACTCAGATCAACTTTTATTTTCGGAGCTGAGTCGGACTTTCCTAACCGTCACAATACCTTCCACTTCTACTTTTAAGTATATATCGATATATATATATTTTTTTATGACTAGAAAATATGTACGTAGTAACTACGTATCACTTGGGCTGATAGATTTTACGCCAAATGGCGGATATTTTTTTTTCCCAATACAGTATACTAATTTTGACTAGTACGGTTAGGTTAAAACCTGTCCAGAATTTGTATCTTTAAAGAATTTAAATAAAGATTCTATCGGCTTAGCCCGACCTGTATATTTGATACGTGTAAAAACTAATGGTCTATGACATCCCTAAGAATTTATTTTATTAAATATTTAATTGTTATGCTGAATATATACATATAATTATTATCAAAAATATCTGCCAGGCCAGGCCAAGAATAGAACCTACAGTACGAAAGTTCACACAGTCGTAATTAAAAATCGTATTTTAAATGAAATCATATGTGCAGGCAGAAGAAAGAGCGTTCTTTACATGTTATTGTCCTATCACTATTGTAAAAAATAAAAAGTTTAGAAGCTCTCCGAATCATCATGTATATGGTTGCACTTAGAGTATGAGACGCGTAAGGGATAATATTGGATTGCATAAGATTTGGCTAGAATGAAATCAATCACATTTAGAATAGTCAACTAAATTTTCGCCTGATTATTATTATTCTTATTACTGTATTATTGACAACACATTTAGAATACGTAGTCAGCTAAATTTTTTGGATAAAAATGATTAGTGGCACAACTACGTAAGATTGCATGTAGTGAATAATCTATATTTATAAATCTATAATTAAATCACATAATAAACAAATAACTCTATTTAGATTATCTAAATTGAGTCATTTTAGATCATTTATGTATGTACGTATTAAAGGAGTAAATTTAATTTTCGTGATTATTTAATTTACTATATAAATGCGAATTATTTTACTTAATTTATATATTTGATTTTCTTTTTTTTTTTAAACAAAATGAAAAAAGCTAGCATTAATTTAGTTAGCACAGCACAGAAACGTGTTTGACCATTTTTTGATACATTTAAGATAATTTCCAATACTAAGTTTAAATGGTTTGAATGAGAATTCTACTATACGTAAATATAAATAAGTTTCAGTATACAAGTTCTTTGATCAATAAACTATGCTGCGCTGGAGAATTGTCTCCGAAAGTTTACAAACTAATGCATTTTGTAATATAATGATAATAAAACTGAAACCACATAACACCGTTATTTAAATCCGGGCGTTCAAAATTGCCGTTACCATGATGCATAACATATTTTTAGATAAAAAATCGTTACTTTGGAGTAGGCAACTGTTTAAGCACAAAATTTATACATCACATTATTCTATGTCTGGAAAAAGATATTACTTCCAATATTAGTACCTACACTACATTAAAGCGTGAACGAAACAGATTATCGTCCCATTCTGGTAAACCAAATTGTCTAACATCCCTCATAATAGGATTAGACTGATTGACCATCCTAATAAATCGTTAATAAATCGTAATGTAACTTCTAAGAATCTTTTATATCTGGATCCACTATCATCATTTCAAAGGTATTTTCTTAAAAAAAAAAAGATATTGTAAAATAAAAAATTTGACGTTTAAGAAGTACAACGATTAACGATTAATATTTATTATATATATTTGTCTGTTTGATTCAATCTTTATGATTGCTAGCTAGTTAAAACCTTCAATGTCTTTACCCAAACTATCAACTAGCACCATGCGTACGCATTCTCTTCAAAATGAGTCTGATTATGATCCTAAAAATCACACCATATTTTCATCATACTCCTTAAATCCTTTTCGTTCTGAAAATAATTTTCATACCCCCGTAAATTTTGTTAATTCAAACACTGAAACTATAACTGATCAGATTAGCAACACTAGAATTCAATATACAACTCTTTATACCGAAGCTGGTTTAATTCGTCCTGTCAATCTCACTAACAATGGATTATCTAGTAACAGTCAAACTAACTATGCTCCAATTACGGCTGGTGAAAATCAACAAATAACGAATTCATCTCGATCTGGAATTCTTGATGAACGAAAATCCATTTATCGTTATACAAATATTGAAAATCTGTCAACCAATGATGATCATAATCGTATTCGTTTAACCAGGAACGATCAAAGATTCAATATTTATCCAAAGCCATCTTCACCTGAACAATCAATATTCAATCATAAAGAAATCTCAAAAAAATCTCTATCAAGAAAGGGTCGCTCGTCTTCGGAACCTCCTGTAAAAAGTATTCATCATTCTCGTTCAAACATTCATCTTTCATACGACAGTCAATCAAGTACTATACCACTTCCCACTCCAATTAGATCCTTAACAATGGTAAAAAATAATCAAAAATTAGAAAAATTACATATCGATATAAATACTTCTCAAACAACTTGGGAACCTGCTCATGACAGGCGTAGATCATGTGATTATCAATTCGACAAGGACTTATATTTACAACAAAAAAATCATTTAAATTCCAGTACAAATCTTAATTCTCCAACTCTATATGGTTCAAGTCAAGGTTCAATGCAAGATCCTCAAAATTTTTATCCTCATAAATCAACCTATTCAAGATATTCTGATCTTAAACCACCTATTGAAAGTTTAACTTTTGGTGGTAGTTCTGAAAACGGTTCTTATGATCATATTTCAAATTTTTCTAGTAATGGTTACGATAATCGTTCAAACAGGGATACTACTGATCATATTATTGATAATGACCTTTCAAGGCAACAAAATAGAATTGATGATGATGTTTCAAGACAACAACAAAATAGAATCGAAATTGATGTTTCAAGACAACAAAATCGTCTTACTTTATTAACCCCTGTAACAATAAAGCAAAAATTCCATATATTTAAGAAACCTAAACAAAACTTTCCAACTTATTTAAAAGCTATTAATGCTTTAGAAGAAATGAAATTCAATGAAGCTATAAATTTATTTACTCTAGTTTTAGAGAAATATCCTCAAAGTTATTCTGTTAGATGTGATAGAGCTTACGCTTCATATCAAATTGAAGATTGGGATAGAGCAATGGATGATTTAAATCATGCTATAACAAAAAAACCAAAAAAAGCTCGTGCTTATTCACTTAGAGGTGAAGTTTATCGACTTATTTCTATGTATGAAAAATCTTTAATCGATTTAAATAAGTCTCTTAAATTACAAAGGAGTATATTTTCTTTAAGATCTCGTGCTGAAGTTTATGTCGCAATTCATCGATATGATGATGCTCTAATTGATTTAAATACTGCTTTAGAAATTAAACCAAATAATGTTTTTACTATAATACGTAGAGCAAAAGTTTATTTCTTACTTGGTCAATATAATAATTCTTTAACAGATTTAAATCATGCTTTCGATTTAGATCAAATTAATGCTACAACCGCTTCAACTTTATCTCATCGTGGTGAAATTTATCGAATAATGGGTCGTAATGATTTAGCTCTTATGGATTTAAACGCTTCATTACAAATTGATGAAAATATTTTATCATTAGAAAGAAGGGGTAATGTTTATATGGCAATGGGATGTGATAATAATGCTATAGAGGATTTTGAAAGGATCTTAAAATTTAATTCTCAACATTTTTCGGCTCAAAAGAACATTGCATATCTTTTATATAAATCTAAACTTTATGAAAAAGCTCTTAAACATTTAGATATCGCTTTACAATTAAAATCTGATGATTTCTTTTTATTAAAAACTCGTGCTTCTATTTATCAAAAAACTGGTCGTTATAATGATGCCATTGATGATTATAATTTTGCTTTATATATTTATCCTAATAATATAGATTTAATTAGAAATCGTGGTGAAAATTATAGATTAATTCAAGATTTTGATAAATCTATAAAAGATTTTACAAGAGTTTTGGAATTAGATTCAAAAAATATTTTCACTTTAACTAGACGTGGTGAAGTTTATAGAATGTTAAGACAAGGTACGAAAGCATTAAGAGATTTGGATGAAGCGATAAGAATTGATCCGGATAATTTGATGGCACGAGAAAGTCGTGGTGCAATGAATAGAACATTAAGACGATTTGAAGAATCATTACGAGATCTTGATGAAGCAATATATTTGAATCCAAATAGTGTATTTGCACTTAGTAATCGTGGTGCGGTTTTTTACATGTTAAGACGATGTAATGAAGCATTAATCGATTTGAAGAAAGCCTTAAAGATTGATCCGAAATATTCATTTGCATTAGAAACAAGAGGTGCTTTATATAACGTGTTAGAAAGATATGATGAAGCATTAGAGGATTTGAATAAGGTATTGGAATTAAATCCAAAAAATCTTTGGGCATTGACTTATCGAGGAGAATCATTTATTGGATTAAAAAGAGAAGAAGAAGCACTTCAAGATTTGAACAAAGTATTAGAAAATTTACCTGATTGGGAATACCCATTATCATTACGTGGTGCTGTTTACCGAACTTTGAACATGAATGAGAAAGCATTATTAGATTTGGAACATGCATTAAACCATACAAAAGATAAAGCATTTAATATTGATTATGAGACAAAAGCCTTGTGCAATCGAGGTTCTGTTTTAGCTAAATTGGGAAATTATGATGAAGCATTAGCTGATTTTAATAAAGTGTTAACAAGAGATCCAAATAATGCATTTGCCCTAAATGAACGAGGCGCAGTTTATGAGGCCTTGGGGAAGAAGGATAAAAAGATTGATGTAAATAATATGCTGGCAATTGTGTCTGAAAATTAATTCACCTGATCATCAAATAATTTGATGAGTGAAAAAAGGTATATACGTATGAGAAAGAACGATATGTATGAATTTCATATTTAAAACCATGTACCATACCACGTGTAAATACAATAGCATATATTTGTAGTAATGAAAGAACAATTTTTTATGTAAAGGTGTTGATTTATCATTTTAGGTCAATTCAAAAATTTTGTAATAAACTTTTACTGCTGGTCAAGAATATTATTTTGCTACCACTTTTATTATTTATATAATGTTTACGTATTCTTTAATATTCGTACTCCAACTTAGTAGGTTTAATTGAACTAATTGTTCTTGTATATTTCAAGATTTCAAAATTTTACAGTACAAAAAACTTTTTAACCTAAATTTATAGATTGTAATAGGTTCTAATATAAATAAATTAAATCTTTTTTTTATCATTAATTATTATTAATCATTACATATAAAAAGCAAAATAATCAATATCCATGTAATGTAATTATTTTAGATTTAAAACCTACTTCTGTTCAGAGACAGTGGATTTTTATAGCATCTAAAATAGCGCTATTTCTAGCAAATACTTAAATAGCTAGTAACGCTATTTTATGTTGAGATTAAGGTTTGCAATTCTATTATCGCACCAAACACGTGATTGTTACCTTTATTGGTTGGTTAGTACATATCTGTATAGGGAACTTAGTAAAATTGATTAATAAATAAGGTACGTATTCATGTTTGAATTAATTAAAGCTTTATTCGGATTCCTCTTTTGAGTGTAGATGTAGAGCGTTCATATAAGCATATTTTAGATATTATATGAAGGGCTTTTACTGAAAAAAAAACTGAAAGGTAAATTTTTTTAGCAAAGATGGTGTAAATGATAAATTTTAGTTTGCTAATTTTTGCTAATTATGTTAATTTTACTAGCTATTTTCGCTAGCCATTAATGATATGACTTGCGCAGTAAATTTAGATTTACATAGCAAATAAAAATGTTACTAATAAAATTTTTTAAAAATGTACCAAATTTTTAGGATATATAAATTAAAATGGTTATTTATTATAATAAACTTTTATTTGTCTAGAGCGAAGCGGAGGATACTAAATTATTCAGCATATGATACGATTTTGAAAAATTATGAAATTCACATCGGAAATGCAATTCAGAAATTTTTTGTGTGTCCACATGCATGTCTATCTTTGTACTTTAATGTAATACTAACATGGTTATTTCGCGTTTGTGTAGCATGCTGATCATCATGTGTTAAGCATTACCTAGTATATATTGTAAAAAAGTCTTGGTGGTAAGTCCAAATTCTTGGTGGTAGCATTCTGATTGGTTGATTATCAGATGACTATCATAAAAAATCTATAATACCTATCTTTAAATAAACCTATATTACCGAATTTTAATCCAAATTTAATAATTCTACCATCATTAAAATCATAAAAATCTGCTTTACAACTTTCCTTAAAAGTCTAAAAGCAGTTAAGTTAGTAAAAATATTTTTAAATACCAAAATAAAAAACCTTACGATTAAAGTTATATGACAAGTGATCTACATGATTTTCGGACTGATCCGGGATTAAGCAAATTTCATGATTTTGATTGGTTAAAGTAGCAGATGACTATCGGGTAATCTCATAATTAGGGATGGGTTCGGTCACGAACGGTCACAATCATTTATAGTCAATTTGCTAAATACTGAGATGATTTTTTACTTTTGAGCTTTTAATTAAAGTTGTTCAGAATTAAATTCTGA